TTTGTGTACGAGGAGCTAATTTACATGAATGGAATTGGAAAGTTGGCCCCGGTCTTTTCACTATTCGAGTTTAGAATTTGAATTTTGTTAAAAAACTCTAAAAAACAGTTACATCTATTTTTTTTATTACAGTAAAAAGCTCACACAGTCTCGTTTATTTCACCGATTTGAGTTTTTAATTTTAGATTTCTACAGTAAAAAACTCTCAAAAAATGTCACATCAACTTTTTGTGTTACAGTAAAAAAACTCTCAGAAAATGTCACATCTCAGCTCGAATTAAAAACTCGAATCCGCTAAGTGAACAGAGCCATAATATCACATTTCAATTCGAATTAAAAACTCAAATTAACGAACCAAATGGCCCGCGCTATGCGGCTATAGATTCTTTTTCGAAGTGAAAGTTGAATACTTTGAAACTACTGAGCTTCAGTTAGTTGTTATTATCATGATTGATTAGGAGAATTTTTTTTTTTATGAATGAGGAAAGAATTCTTGGCAATTTTTGAGAATTTTGTGAAATGGAACGCTGTAACAAATTGTTCAGTTTTTGCTTGTTGTACAATAATTCGCTGTTGATTGTATTTTTGTTTATTTTTAGAACGAGAAATGATTCCAATTTTCCTGTTCTCAGCGTGTTTATATTATTTGGCTAACAGGGTTCAATTCTAGGTGTTGAGGTTGACGTTTCTAGAAAATCTTATCGCACCCAACTCATAAAATTGGAAGACAATAAGGATATGGAAAAGGCTTCTCCAACAAATGGAGGTTTTCTGACATCCCGTATATTTACTTTGACAGTTCCAGAGGTAACTAGTTATTTGCGATAATTATATCAAATTACTTCTTGGTTGCTTTTGATTTAATTCAACTTTCCCTAAAAAAATTTTCATTTTCGTTTTTAAAGGTTGATGGAGGTTCCATTATCTCTGTAAAAATTAGTTGGTCTCAGAAATTACTGTACAAGGACAGCCAATTCTCTTTGAATATACCTTTTAATTTTCCCGAGTATGTCACTCCTGTTGTAAAGAAAATCTCGAAGAAAGAGAAGATCCAGTTGAACGTGAATGTCGGTACTGGAACTGAAGTGTTATGCAAGACAGTCAGTCATCCTTTGAAGGTGCATCCTTGATTTTGAGTTCCATTTCCTTTTGTTTTAATGTAGTTATTTATCTTGTTAAGCGCTGTGGTAATTTTTCCTCCGACTTTCCAGGAAGTAAGGCGCCATGCAGGAAAATTGGGTTTCTTTTATGAATCCGAAATCTTTTCTTGGTCAACTACAGACTTTAGCTTCTCATACGGGGTATGACTCAATCCATGTGTGCTGATATATGTGTTTTGTGTAGCTCATAACTAATCCAGAAATGGTTGAGGCATGCGAACTGACTTATAGTTAAAGGCATGGCTATTCTCAGAAATTACCTTTCATTTCGTCGTGTTGATTCTAAAGGAGCTTGTTTTTTTTCTTTTTTTTTTTTTTTTTTGTTGCAGGTCACTTCACGTGATATACATGGTGCTGTGTTCTTACAAGCTCCACCAGTGCATGCAGTCGATCAAAGACAGATGTTTTGTGTCTATCTATACCCAGGAAGTGAGCAGAGTAGGAAGGTTGGTTTTACACTTAAATGGCTTTTGGATGTCTTCAAGATTTCTTTGATTTCTTTTTCGTCTTTGTACATAACCTC